GAAAAATGATGTATCAATTTAAATATAAAACCAGTTATTTGTAATTTTCTGTTAAATCTTATTGCGGAGTTTTTTTTTTTTTGTCATTTTTCCAGTCTTTGGGATGTTAAACAGCCAGTGATGCAAGAGAATTGCTGGGTGCCACATTGCTGAGTGCCCCATTCTCTGGTCTTTCATTCTGAAAGTGAACCAAACTCCACGTTTGTGCACAAAGGTCTTCCTTCAACTAACTGGTTTGGTTAACGTAATGGTTACGTCAGTCTTGTACATGCGCCATGATTTGTTTGTATTTTAAAAGCATCCTGAAGGAACTTCTTGGCACATGCTCGAGAGTATCATATGTATGGCTAAATGAGCTTCATAGAACATGAGGTGATATGATTGTATTATTCAGATGCGAATGGTACTTTGGTTATTGAGCGATCCAGTCCAGTGTTAAGTTGCCTAAAATGGAGACAGTTATGAAGATTCTGTTCGAAGCGGTAGTAGTGCTCTGAATTTTTTTCAGGGATCTCTCGGGAATTGATTTGTTTGTTTATCTTTTTCTCTCAAAGGTTGTTTATGACATCCATATTTATTGAGCGTTGCCCTCAATATATTATTTGATAATGTCCTCACTATCACTATTTTCACGTGTACCTGGAACATTGTAATGATTAGGATACCGTATCAAAATTTGACTTTCAAGTCGTTTATAAGAATGACAAAGATGTCCTATAATTTTTAAAATGCATGCATTTAACTGATAACGGATATTGGATGCGCTATTCATTTGTTTAAAAGGGTAATGCAAGTCGGGACTTAGATTGATTTCTCTAAAATGCTTTGAAATTTGTATTTCCACTGTTTAATATAGCAATTTTGTGCTATTTGCAATGTTTATAACTGCAACTGATATTGGCATTCATTTATCTTTTTTTTTGATTAACCGAGTCACCATAAAGTTCTGATGAGGATAGTGATTTACTCATTATTATTCTCGGTTTGCTTATTATCTGATTAAAGCAAACAAGAAATTAATTGTTGGTACTTTCTAAGGTTTATCATTTGAACTTTTTTTTCCATCAGTTTCTATTGGTACAGCTAGATAGAAACAAGACAATGCTCATCTACGGTTATCTACGGTAAGGCTCTAGTATCGCAGTGTACATGGAACGATGCAGCTTTACAGAACTATGCATGTTATAACTATGCTTGTCATGATGCCACTATATGATACGGGTGATCGAACCAAATCAAATCTATTTAATTTTATTCCAACTTTAGTAGAGTTGGTACTGCAAATCAGTAAAATGAGAAAGAATGTTGATGACATCAAGGAAGGCGCATATTGTGTTGAACTGTCATCGGGACATTGCTTGTACTATGTTGATCAGGTCACGCTCGACAGAAATGTGAAGGAACTGGGATATCAGGATGATCCATCATTGGAGCAGATCACTCATTTTGACCGTACTATTGGTATCTATGAAGGTAAGTTGCAACATTACTTTGATTTATAAATTACAACTGCTCCGAATTATCCACCATTAATTATTAATAAATTTGTCACTAGCTATGAAAATTTTTGAGGGTTATGTACCACTGGAATTTAAGTTGGAAAATTATCCGTTTTTCATCCTTTCCCCATAACGCTCAATCAAGCTGTCACTGCCAGATTGTACCAAAGCTAGGAAGAATCATTTTTTGAATGTTATATTTCGGTTTGCAGGTGGATTTAAAGTTTGGGAATGCGCCATTGACTTGTGCGAATATATAGATAAAGCTCTGGAACCACAAATTTTGAAAGACAAGAAGATTCTCGAGGTAGTTATCAATCGAAACATTTCATCAAAGATTTTATTACTTCATATTTACCTTTTGTAATTAATACCAACGTTTTAGGTTGGTTGTGGCGCAGGATTACCATCAATTTTGGCATTGCAAAAAGGCGCTAAGGAAGTCGTTTTGCAAGATTATGTTGGTTCTGATAAATTAATAATATATTTTGTAAAAATAGCTTTTCAGTACATGGCAGTACTTGGTTATTATGTCTTATAGAATGATGCTGTTGTCAATTGCTTTACAAAGGATAATTTCACGGTCAATAATATGAACCTGAAGAACTGCCGATTTTACAGCTGTGACTGGGCTATACTACATCAGAAAATAGATGGTCAGAAGTAAGCGCAGATTTTTTTTAATCTTAGGATCATTGACATTTATACCGCAATAAAAGTATGGCAGTATTAATGAGATATGGTTTTAAGTATAATCCAACATGCAGTGTTTGTTTCCTATTGAATTAAGCAATACTTGGCATAGTACTTCTTGGCTTTTTGAAAGGGAACTGTTAAAGTTCCATATCCGGATGCTTCGGAATTAGGATTATGTTAATTTTGTTATCCCTCAACTCTACTCTGAAGTTTCATATTTTAACCTCAAGTTTGGTACTGTCGTCACGGATGAAAAGCGATAATAAAGGTTGTTATAAGGGAGAGGAAGGAATGAAATTGAAAAGGAAAATGGAGGAAAGGTTCAGGAGTTAACATCAAATGCTTTTTTTTTCTTCTCCCAGTGTTTGGATATTTCGATAGGTTTGCAGTATTAGTCTCTGCGCTACAGATATCTCAGTATAGGTATAGGCACAACAGAATGGTCATATGAGATGATCCGTGTTGATGATATCATTGGGAAGATTGTCAATTATTTATTTCCAACTAAAGATCTCCAGTGAAGGAGTTTCCAGCATAGTTGAATTTTATTGCTGGATAACTGCTGATGTTCCAGATCATTATGATTTGAATCAATGTTTGCAGCTTTGTAATTACTTGAATTCTTAGGTTTATTACGCCTCGTTATATCAAATTATTCCTTTGAATCAACTCCAAGGAAAGTAAATTTAATATTGCAATAAGGACTGATTGTTAGCAGCTTTATCAGTATTTATTGTAAACAGGCTAATTGCCTCATGCAGTTTTGGAGATTTAAAGAACTCTTACCTGAAAAGTTGATCAAAATAACTGTCTAAGAGCTATTTTATCGAGAACGACAATTATTCCTTTTTGAACAGCGGGAATAATATAGCAGCAAGTGCTGCTTTTTTCTACTTTATTCAAAATGATCGAGAAGCTTATCAAAATATCTGAGAAGACGGAACGGCAGTGCGGTGATTTTCTTGTTCTGCTAGTTTATTATGTTTGTTTTTAGCTTGATTTTTTTCCTATTAACGAGTCCAAGACATTTGAAGGGATCGTATTTAAGGTTTGATGTTGTTTTAACATCTGAAACGATCTACAACGAAGAACATTATAAGATTTTGCATGATTTGTTTGATGTTGTTCTTCCACCCGACGGATTAGTGTAAGTAACTTACTTACAAAAACATATTTTCCAACCAACTTTCAATTACTCGTTCAATTACTCTTCTCTTACACCCTATTCTTAATGAGTTGCTCAAGCACTCAATTCTTTTCATTCTTTTTCAAGAAATGAAGTGAAAATTCATTGTAGAGACAGCTCTCCTACTTCATCCGTAATACTTACTTATTTTGTAATATGGTTCTGTTTTTCTTCAGTCCCCGTAATTAGAAATTCCAGACTGCTAGCAGCAAAAATGTTTTACTTCGGTGTTGGTGGCAATATACCAACCTTTCTGGAATATGTAAAAGCACGTGGCATATTCGATGCATATATATGTTGGAGTAGCAAAAGCGATGTTCCGCGAAAGATTATACAGTTGACTCGAAAATTTTGTTCCTGAGTGAAATTATATTATGTTCATAATTTTGTAAAGAAGCATTTTTATGATTCAAATATATCTTTTCGTCAGGTCTTCCTGTTTTGAAATCCTTTCATGTATTAATTTATCAAGTTGCTTTATCATCCCTATCTTCAACTTCTCTAATTCTTTCGTTAAATATGCCGGCTTATCATCAAAACATATTATTCACTCTTGACTGTTTGGAACTCACAAATTGCTGCTTTTTGATTCATAATACTCTATCCCATCTATAATAGTAAGTTATTCAGAATATCTTTTTCGTTGTTGAGCGAAATATTATGCTATCGTTTTCATATGGGGACTAATCGATGAAAAAGCAGTTGGTCAGTTGTCGAGAATAAGTGATCCAACAGTTGATGCAGTTATTCCCTTTGCATCATTCGTTTTAGTCGTCATCTTTTATTAATATTCTACTTTGTTCCGAAAATTGATATAATAATAGCATGATCAGGTCATTTCAAGAAAAAGCGTAGATAAAAAGCATAGATAAAGCATAGATAAAGAGCATAGCATAAAAAGCATAGATATTAGAAAAAGCATAGATAGCATAGATACAAATATCTATCGATCTTTAATTGCAACTCCATCATACTAACTTTAGATGCACTACGATAAATGCTGAAATGTAGTTTTGTAGAGCGAACCACTTGTACTTTTCCTTAAATTGGAATTTCGTAATCTGAAGCTGAATTTCAAAATTTGTAAACCAGTAATGTCTTCTTTCTTGTATTCAAATGACTGGTTCAGATAAGGCTTCGCTTGGACAATTCATTAAACTCTATTCAATGACACCTATTTTCCGGTAACAGTTGTTCATCCAATGCTGTCATCATTTTACTAAATCAAATCTACTGATTTATTGGCTGCTGCAAATAATCTGATCAATTGTTTTGTTTTCTTAAATGAGTAGTATATTAACGAATTTGTTTTGAAGGATTTCAGGTAATGTAACTGATAAGTAGATTTCTGAAGTCTTATCAGAAATAAAATATATATTTGCCGTCTAGTACTTGTCTAATCTTTATATTTTTATGACCGCGTCATATGGTTTATTTCTATTAAATCCGCAACCCCATCGGCATCCGTGCAGTTGAGCAAGTGTCGCGAATTCCGATTCGCGAGACTTCAACCATACCCCAAACAAACAAATAAATTTCTTGCTAAAAATAAATATTAATGGTGTAAATCATTTAACCAATTTACATTC